CTTTCTCTTTCTGCTTTATTAATTTCTGTATTTTTTCTTATTTTCTTTCCATCTTCTTTGTTTGATATGATTTAATTTCTCTAGGTTTTTGAGATGAACACTCAGGTCTTTCCTTTATAATCTTTGTTCCTATATAATCTACTTAATATTTAAAAATTTCTATCAGAGCATCATTTTAGCTATATTCCACACCTTTTTATGTGTTCTCTTTTATTATTATTTATTTCAAAATGTTCTTTGAGTTATTTTATGATTTAATTTTTGGCCACTGAGGTATTTAGAAATGTGCTGCTCACTTCTCAAACACTTGAGGACTTTATGATTATTTTTTGCTATTTTCTTCTAACTTGTTCTTCTGCATTTAAAGAATATCCTATGTTATCTCAGCTTACAAAATTTATTAATATGTTCTTGTTCTTTAAGGTTCACTATTTGATAAATTTTCATGAAAGTTGATGTGCCCTTCAAAAGGATGTGTATTTTGAATTTATTGAGTATATACTTCAAATATCAATTAGATGAAGAGATTAATCAGTTGTCTAAATCTGGTTTCTGGGTTCTTTTTGTTTGCTTGTTTCATTCATTATTTGGATATATTAACATCTTCCAAAATAATTAAGAAGGATTTGTATATTTCTTCTAATTTTATCAATTTTAATTTATAGATTTTCATGCTTTTTTAAAAAAATAAATACATAAGTAGATATATGTGTATGTATACATGTATATACCTGTATCTGTATAAATAATACACACTTGGAATTTTCTTTCTGTTTTATTATTCTGACAATTTTGTCTTCTAACTGAAATGTTTAGTGTATTTATAATATAACATGAATATAAAATATTTGGATTTATAGTGAATGCCTTAAAATTTGATATCTATTTTTTCTACTTCATTATTTCTTTTATTGTACAATTTCTTTTTCTCTTTTATCTTGCATTTTTTTTTAATTAAGCACATGTCTTTATTTTATTTTGTCTTTTTTTCAGCTTTTTAGGTAAACATTCTTTGACTAATCATACAGGGGTTACTTTAAATTATTTACATCCATACTTTATATTAAAGTTCTAATATAGGTTAGTGCTTTAACCAGTGCCAGATCTTAAATTCTGCTTACTCCATTTATTTTCTCATTCACTTGTGCTTTGACTGTTTCTATACTTTGGCTTATTCTGCCCTTCATACCACATGGTGTATTTCTATTATTATTCCTTTATAAAGACAATCTTCACTTAGTCACCCACATGTTTACTTTTCCTATTGCTCTTTCTTCCGTTATTTTCTGGCTTTCATCTGGAAAGGATAGAATTCTGTCCCCCTGGAGCTCTTCCTTCATTATGAATCTGTTGCCAATGGGGAGACATTTTGAGAGTATTTTCATTTTGAGAGGCTCTTTTCACTGGGTATAGTTATTAAAATAGGCTTGGTGGAACAATTCGAAGATGTCTTACTCTGTTTTGCTTCTGTTATTTCCATTGAAGAGTAATTAGTTTGATTAGTCATTTATTTTTCACTACTTCTTCTATGTATTTTCCTTTTGATTTGTTGTTTTTCAGCAGTTTGATTAGATGTTATTTTAATTTTCCTTATTTTGTTTGGAGTTGGCAGTGCATCATGTTTTTGAATTGGTGTTTTTAAAGAGATTTATGAAAAATTTTTAATATATTCTCATGTATTATTTTATTTCACATTATTTTCCTTTCTTCAGTGACCTGGATTATACATATGTTCAACTTCTTTATTTTGCTTCATGTGCTTTCTATATTTTCAGTTTTTCCATTTTATAATTTCTCTAATCTTCCATGTATATTGATTGTATTTGCATTTACCTAGCTTCTAAACCTTTTGTTTTACCTCGTTAAATTCTAAATCTATCTATTATGTTCTAATCCTCAAACACTATTTTGACTCTCATTTTCTCCTCAGTTATCTGAAACTGTTTTCATAAATAATGATTACAGTTGTCTTAGTGTCTATTCCTAATAACTAGTACTGTCTTTTTTTTCTTGGTCATTAGTCATTGAGTATCTTCTTTTTGTATACCAGGTAATTTCAGTATCTATGTCAGATATTACTTATGCAATCTTTAGAGAAAATTTAAGTGTCTAGAGTTTGTTAACTTCTTACAGAAAAGATTGCTTCCAACAGCCAGTTTTACTAAAAGCAAGTAATTTTTGTCAAAATAGTATGATTTTTTCATTTGGTAGTTGGTTTGTGGGGCTTTTTAAATGAGGTTAGAGCATGTCTGTCTCTTTCGGTTATACGGTTTTGGTTAGTCCTTTTCCATATCTTTAACCTTCCAAATTGCCCACTTGAAATTGTGTTTCCCTTGGTTGCTTCATGGTGTGCTGTGAAGACTAGCTTCTGCTTGTTTTATCTTTTGGGAAGGTCAAAATTCAAGCCAAAACTTCAAGGTCTGCTAGTCAGCAATGCCTTGAAGAAAAGAACAGAAGTGAATGCCAGGTTCATGTTCTGTTGCACCCTGCAGCTCCGCAGATCACCCCTATATTGATAGATACCCAACATTTCAATAGATTTTTATCTGCCTTTATGTATATCTTCCCATCTCATCATCTTTTGTAGTTGTTCCATGGGAGCAGAGAAAGAGTTGTGTTGGTAATAGTTCATTTATTATAGTTGTAGGAAGAGTTGCAAAGTCTATATTCCTAATTATTGCTATACACTGCTCTTTAACAGGATAAAATCAAGATATTCACTCTTCCCAGAACTTATATTCTAGTTTAGAGAAATAGCAATAGAGAACTTTTCCTGTAGTAGAATATTACAATACATTTGTACACTAAATTATGGTAGCTTGGAAATCTCTGAGGTCATGAAAATTGTTAAATTAATTTTATGTTCTAAATGAATCCTTGATAAAATCTGTCAAGTAACATTGATATGAATATAAGTGTTCTAGAAGTTCAGGGTAGAATATAAAGTTGATGCACGCTGCAGCATTTATGAGGGATCACAAGAGGTTTCTTGGTAGATGCATATGATTTGAACAGGCTGAGGAGAGAAGAAACCAAATCATGTTAGAGGAGAAACCACGTTCCAAGCCTTAAGGTAACGCTGGAAGAATGAGGGACAGTGAGGTTACCAGTCCATTGTAAGAAACAATGAGTTTGAGATAGGGAGTACTAGATACTACATAGAGCTATGTAGTGGAAAATGACAAATACTAGATTATAGAATATTTATTGATTTTCTTCTATGAGCAAAAGCTTATTTCACAGAAATGTGAGCAACTGTTAAGCCCCAAAGAAATAAAAATATATCAAAATGTGATAAATTGGATTATACAGAATTGTTCAATAACAAACTTTGTAATTTGAAAGTGTGCATTATGAATTTCCAGCACACAGCCCTTTCTGAAACATATTTTGGAAAATAGGGCTGTGTGGGCATCAAGGAAACAGTGACTGAATTATTAACCCAGCAGAGTAAGCCTGTGGGCCTGTTTGGTGTTCCCGACTCTATCACTTGCATCACAGTTTCCTAGCAAGGAGATTTGATTGCTCAGTACATATTTTGCTGTTTCTAGTTGTAAAAGAAGAATGACGTTAGAGTGAAATTGGGATGAAATTTTGGATGTCTTTTTTTTTTTTTAAAGCAAATTTAATCTAACACTATGGTACAAGATGAGCCATAATGAAAGAGACCACAAGCTGAAATCCTAGAAATAGTTAAAATTGCCCAGATTTATGATTTATACTTAGACTGTGGGAATAACCGTACAAGTGGAAAATAAAACGAGTAAGAGTGATATTTGGTAAAAGGAATTGACAAGAGTTAGCGATGAAAGGTGAAGGAAGTTCTTAAGACATTCACCAGGTTAGATGGGTCCAAGGGTGATTCGTCAGTGAAAAAGAAAGAAGAAATCTGTACATGATTTCATTCTGGTCCCTTCCTATAGCCTGAAGATCTGTCTGATGGTGGAGCCATGTAGAAAGTTAACTAATTCCATGAAGTCTTGCTTGTGTTTGAGAACTTTCCGTGAAGGTATCTCTAGTTTTCAAACAGTAAAGTTAATATTTGCAGGACATTTGATGAAAAATGAGCAGAAAAACCACTTTAGAAAAACATTGATTATAAGTGTATTGTACAGAGAGTCTGACAGTCGACAAAGCAGCTTTTCTTCCAATTCAGCAACTTTGTGATTTCTGCATCAAAAATATGTCATTTAAAATATTGGAAATTTAAGTAACTACTTTGAGCTACTTCTTTTGCAAGAGAAAGCAGAATGTCCTGTGTTTGTGAACAAATGCAATGTATTTGAGCTACAGAGAATGGATGACAATCAAAATATGGACTCTACCTAGTCTAGACATGCCTCGAGCAAAACCAAAGCCAATTTTGCACTGAGACCTTTGGTGTAGGTTCAGACTTTAATGTGGCCAAGACAACCAACTTTCCTCCTCTGAAAAGGGGTTGTGGGGGATGGGACAAGATGAGAGCATCTCAGACTTCAGACTTAGATTTCAATCCTATGAAGAGTAAGTTGCTTTTTACTTTTTTATTCTCCTCCATAAAACGAGAATAGTAATTATCTCAAAGGGTAGTGGTGAGTGCTAAGTAAGCGATAAAATAACTAGTTGCATGGGCACTGTGCATACAACCACCCATGAATGAATACTGTGTGGTGATCTCTTAAACAAAACTTCCTATTTACCAGATTTGTTTTCCTCTGAGAAACTGTGCGAGACAGAAATTTCCCAGCAATAAGAGAGATGTGATGGAATTAGGGATGGTAGCTGATATGCTGGTAAATTCCACAAGATATTCAGAAATATCTTTAAGACTATTACATGATTAAAGCATGGTGGTTATAAAGGTGAAGTGTTTGGTAAGACTAGAAAAACAAAAACAACTGTTCTTGCAGGAAAGTTTGGAAATATGTAGATATTAGCAGCAAGAATCAGAATGAATGATTCTAAATAGTAAAGCATGGTTCTCATGAACTGTAACTGATGTCTCTTTTCTGTCACACCAGTGAGAAGAAGCTCATTACTGATGCCCTTAATAAAAACCAGTTCCTGAAGAGACTGGATCCTCAGCAGATCAAAGACATGGTGGAGTGCATGTATGGGAGAAGCTATCAGCAAGGCAGTTACATCATTAAGCAAGGAGAACCCGGAAACCATATTTTTGTGCTGGCTGGTAGGTTTCACAGGCTTTTCTAGTTATCCCATGCATTAGTCTTTGTGTTTTTTTCTTTTTCTTATTTTCTTTTCTTTTCTCCTTTCCTTCTTCCTTCCTTCCTTCCTTCCTTCCTTCCTTCCTTCCTTCCTTCCTTCCTTCCTTCCTTCCTTTTTTTTTTTATTTTAGTACAGGGTCTCACTATGGAGATCGGACTCATAGTGATCCGCCTGTGTTCAGCCTACCAAGTGCTGGGATTACAGGTGCGCATCACCACAGCTAGTCTCAATCGCCATCTCAGAGTGCCCAGGGAGCGGGGCTGGGATGGCTGCTGTGTCTGCCTCAGCAGGCACTTTAATCCACTGAGCTATTTGTCCATCCCTTCTTTGCATTTTTTTGTAAGCATTTATAACTACTTGCTCTGTAAAACATGTAAAAGAAAGACAACTCACAAAATGGCAATATTGTTGATCTAATTACAATAATGACACTACTTACTGCTTTTTATGAATCAGGAATCCCTTTGCACACTAGATGAGAGGATTTATTTTGTCTTTCGCTGGTCTTGTAAGGCAAAGGCTGTTATCTCCAAAAAGACTATGACCCAGAGAATTTCAGTAACTTACCCAAAGCCATGCAGTATATGTAAGTGGTGGAAGTAAAATGCAAATTTAGGCACTCTGACTGAGGAATGTAAACTTCTAATCAAGTGCCATTCATTTAAGAAAAACAAAAAAACTTCTCTCTTCAACATCCAACTATTTATGTTGACAGTTTTAGATAACTGTACCAGGAAAGATTTACTTTTATCATGTAATCAATTGACAAATCAAATAGAGTGCCTTACAACTAACATCAGGGAGTTTAGAACCATTTAAGCAGTATCCCTTTTTTTGTAATAACTGGAACATGATTTTATACTGGGAATAGTGTAACAGCTACACGGGCAAAGGATTTATTTCTGAATCTTATAGATCTTAAAGTCTACTCCAGTTTTTCCTTTAGTATGGAAGCAAGAAATGATCTACACAAGGATTAAAGTTCTTGAATGGCTTATAAGTTGTTAACTGTGCCCAAGTTTTTAGTTGCAGGAAAAAATTTAAACTGGTTTACCCAGATGCTGAAGTTGCCTGCAATATGCTGTGATCTATTTTATATTATAGTTTCTGGTAATCTAAATAATATTTTTATTCTTATTTTCCTCGGGGTCTTAGGTGTGGGACAGAAGCTGCCTATCTAAACAAATTAACACATACATGCAATTCAATTCATAGGGTGAAAATGTTATTTTCGTAGACTGGTTCTTAAAAAAGTGCCTGTTTTATCATTATTTGTCTATTGTTTGTCATGTAATCTTTATAGGCAACTTTAAAATTATGTGGTCATTCCCAAGTAATTATTCTACTCAAACAGTGAGTTATAATCTTAATTTATCTGATCTTCAATTTTATAATCTTGTAAATTTTTCTTGGCCATTTCCCATCTATTTTAGCAGGGCTAGAGCATTCTGGCAAGAGAGATAGGTTATAAGTCCACAAATATTTATGGAACCTGCTCAGAGTGGGTGAGACGTTTGTGTCAGCCTGTCTTGTTCCTTGCCAGTAGTTCTGATGAAAGGCTTGGGGAGAGAAAAGGTTGAACAGACATCAGTGTTAATGCAGCTTTGAGATCAAGGCTCACACAGAAGTGAAAATTGGGAGGTTTCTTATATGATTAGAGTGTCATCTAAGGACTGAATTGCTGGTTTAATTATCTGGCTGAGCAAATTAATTTGATAATTAATAATCTCCCCTTTATAAAATACAGCATGAATAGAAAACAGTTCAAGCATATTTAGTTTAGATTTTTAATATTCCACATAGATCTTCAATGTCAAGTCCCACGAGCCATAGAAATTAGGAAAATTCCTTGGAAAGCATTAAAGTCCAAGATAGCAGTGGACAGTACTTTTAAGTGCCTTTGTGGGGCAGAATTTGCTAAAATGAGAAATTACTAAATTATATTTCTAATTTGTAGAATTTGGAACAAAAATAGTTGTGGTTTTTTTTTTTTACTTACTAGAATACAAATTCTATGAGAATAAGCATTTTTTTTCCTCTGCTGGCTACTTTTGCTCTGGTCTCTGGAGCAGACGTTGGCATGACACAAATACTCAGAAGAGATTTATTGAATGAATAGGTGGACGGAGATGATGATCCAGTTATTAAATGGTGAATTTGGGAAGAAAAGCTAATTCTTCCCAGGAAAAAGTTACTACCTCCAAATTTTGATTCTTTTAAGAATGTAGATGTGCTGGCCTTGCCCCTGGGCTATGCTGAGATGGTGATTGAGACTGCGTGGTAGTGCACGCCTGCAATCCCAGTGCTTGGGAGGCTGAACACAGGAAAATCACTGAGTCCCTTCAGACCCTGTAGACCCTGTACTAAATACATTTAAAAAAGAATGTAGATTTTTTGTTTATGATTTGGGTTCGATAAGGCTTTGAATGAAAGGAGAGGAAATGAGAGTTGCCAGGGCAAAGATATTTTGAGAAGGTTGCCCAAGGCTTGCCTCTCCCTTCCGCTCAGCTTCTCCTAAGCACAGACAAGTACCAATCACTCTTGTGATTGACTTCCTTTAAGGACTGATAGCTGTTACATTTTAAGGAATGAGGGGTCAGGTAACAGTGGTGGATCATGAAAATAACTTTCCCACAGTCATGCAACCAATAGCTAATTTTCAAGACATACTATGACTGCTGAGTTCTCAAAACATGCTGTTATTGTCATGCTCTTACAAGAGGGGAAGTAGCACTATGTACTACAGGATAGAATGAACTTTAAACAAAGTGTTCACCATCCGATCTACTATTTCAGGGGAAGAGCTTTGCTTCAGTGATAGTAACATTAACCATATCTACTATCTGCACAGCATTAGCTACATCCTCCCCATTGTGTTATGTTCTCTGCTTATATTAACTTACTGAATCACCAAGACAGATGTATAATCAGTATTATCTCCATTATCAGTGAGGAAGTTTGGGCAGAGAGTGTAACTTTCTCAAGGTGAGTACATAGCAGACCTGGTCTGGAGTGGCTCTTGTAGCTGTAATATTAGAAGAATCCTACAATATCTTACTGACTATTTGCATTTTTTAAAAATTTTACTTGATAGAGGGTCAACTAGAGGTGTTCCAAGGAGAGAAGTTGCTGTCATCCATCCCTATGTGGACCACATTTGGGGAACTGGCCATTTTGTACAACTGTACGAGAACTGCCTCTGTGAAAGGTAACAGATGAAAGGCGCTGCCTCCGACTTCTCACGCAGTGCTAACGTCACCTGACGTCTGCATCCTAATCCAGACTTTCTTATTCCTATTTTGCACCATATGCTCTTTTTAATAGAAATACTATGCATAAGGAGTTTTATATGACTCATTTATCTAAAGAATCCAAGTGAAAAAGAATTCTTTTCTCAGATACCCATCTGGACACTATGAAAATAGCTGTAAATTGAAGTGATTCACTATTTCTCTAACTGCCACTGTACTTTTTACTACAGGGGCATCTTCCTTGGCTCATGAAAAGTTTGCTTACTGGTTTCTGTGAGGTTCTGACCATGTTATAAACCAGAAAAACAAAAAGTAAAAGTAAAACCAATGAAAATATATCAGTATCATATCAAAGGGTTATAAATCAGAGAAATGGGCACTTTCATGGATGACTTTAGGATAAACTTAATTGCTTCTCTGAGGGATTCCAGTTTCCATGATTTTGTTCATGGTCATCTTGGATTTTGTTCAGAATAACTTAGAAGTGGTGCTGCTCAGTGTTTGGGATGTGTCACGTGTATTAACATTGCTAAGGTCTTTTTGTACCCAAGACTTTCCTAGAGATCCTTACAGGTACCATAGGTCTCTTTTGCAACATTGTCTAAACAACATAACAAGACACACATAGAACACATACATGTGCACAGAGATCCAACTTCTATTCACTTGCTTGTGAACTTTTCATTCTCTGGATTATCCATAGGTTGACTGGCCTTTTCTAATCTTACAGCAAAAACCTGAAATTCATCTTGATGGTGTTGTGCATAACTGTGGATTGCAAACTCATTTGAACATCATCCTAACTAAAAACATAATTAGAAAGGAAATCTCCTGCTCTCTACTTCCAAATCACTGTACATTTCAAAGCCAACAAAATTTATAAAATTATTCACTATTTATTTTGCTGCTTCTTTCCATTTGCATGTTTAAATAACATATTTTCCAAGAAATGCAAATTCACATTCTCATTGCTGTGACAAAATACCCAACACCTACAGTTGAAGGAAGGAAAGTTTATCTACCTGGAAGTTTGTAGAGGTTTCATTTCACAGTTAGTTGTCTCCAAGGCATGGCAGTATGGCGGAGGCACACTGCAGGGGAGAAACAGCTCATGGTGGGCAGAAGCCAGTGATGTAGTGAGGAGCAAGCGACCCTCATTCTGTCCCTTGTGTCTTATCCAGGTTACTCACCCTTAGGAGAGTAGCAGTCACACGCAGGGAGGGGCAGCGTTGATCCTGGCATCATACCATGAACTCATCCTGGCATTGATCCCAGCATCACACACCCTAGATCCAGCCACTCCCAAGAGGCCCCACTTATGACCAATGAATCTTTGGGGGGACATCTAAACACAAGTTGTAATACTGATTAACTTTGGAGTACATTTTAAGTGTGGTATGAAGCCCTATTTCATTATTTTCTTGATTTTTCTAGCTATTACCAATGTAAAAACATGGGCACTGGATCGAGAAGTTTTCCAGAACATCATGAGGAGGACAGCACAAGCTAGAGATCAGCAATACAGAAACTTTCTCCGAAGGTAAGTAAATTGCAGTGGGGAAGGTGTACAGCAGAAGGTGGAGGATACAGATGGAGTTTATCAGAACAATAATTTTTTAATAGATTCTCCAGTTGAAGCATTTTTAACATTAGTAAAGAAAGAGACTAAAATATTCTCTTGTGGGAAATTCCCCACAAGGACATACATCAAAATTTTATTTATTTCTTATATATAAAAATTATATTTAAATAACTTTGCATACTAGTTTATTTCTTCCATGAGTTGTTTCCCTTGTATCAAGGGGCCTGTATTAGTTACTTTTTATTTTTTATTTATTTTTATTTTATTTTTTTTTTTTTTGCGGAACTGGGGATTGAACTCAGATCCTTGCGTTTGCCGGTCAAGCGCTTTTCCTACTGAGCCATCTCCCCGGCCCCTTAGTTACTTTTTAAATTGCTGAGACAAAATACATGATGTCACAAATTGGTGTGTGCTGGTGGTATAGTGGTGAGCATAGCTGCCTTCCAAATTAAAGGACAGGGGCTAGCAGATTAGCTCAGCTGTCTAAAGCACCGTCTTGAGCAAAATCAGTCCTGGGTAAGGGACTATGGTTTGATCCCCAGCACCACACGCCACACCAGACCCACCCTTAAGGCAGCTTGAGCCAGCCAAAAAAAAAAAAAAAAAATTCCTTCACAAATTAAAGGAGAAGATGTGTATTTGTGGTTTCCATCCATTGTTGGCCAGTTGTCGGGCAGGGTGACATGGCAGAGGGGTATCACAGAGGAGAAACAGTTCATGACAAAGCAGGACAGGCAGAACACAGTAAGCAGCAAGCAAGTGACAGATTACCATATTAGCTTAGCCCTCTCTCTTTGCCATCTATTTTATCCAGACTACCCACCCTTAAAGGTGGATAGTACTGACAGCCAGAGTGGGGAACCCATAATCTTACCTGGAACATGCCAAACCATTCAGTGGACTAATTAAAAATCACACACCGTTAATCCCAGCATCACATATTCTCGATCCAGCCACCTGTGGGAAGCTCTCACCTACGAACACATAGGGCTTTGGGGGGACATCCAGATATAAACCATAATAGGACTCATAGTGTATAGTATAGAAAAAATTAAAAAAAAATTCTAACAAAATTTACCTGGCTTGCTCACTTGTCTTTGAAAGACATCTGGAGATTGAAAGGGGATGACAACCACATGCCCTTCTAGTAATGCTTTTCTTAGGAAAACAATAAAATTAATCTGTTTTACTATCCTTGTTTTACCTGAGGCATTCCTTTTTTCATTTGAACAGCACCATCATTTTCTAGATTACCATTATTTGTAGCAAATTAACTTTTCAAGAACGTTACTATACTTATCTTGATGCCGTGCATGCTTGGAACACACTCATTTTGCAGAATGTTCTGTACCTCACCAGCGACTACAGCAATTTATATGGAAACAAATGTTCATAGAATTTAAAAAGCAACCTCCAAATTAAATAAGATTTTAATTCGAAGTTCATTACTTAAAATATTTTTGTGTCATTGGCAAGAGTTTTAACAGTCTAAAAATCTGTAACACATACTATAATGAAGCCTTAACACCTGTGATGCTCTACTGATTAACAATGTGTTCTTTCACTGTTTAGTCCAAAAATAATAGTGAATTCTTCTTAAGTCTTATATATTCTGTTTTAAATGAAAGGAATTTAGATTATCTACTAGTGTATATTCTTTCTTTCTTTTTGTTATTTTATTAGTTCATTCAACAAATATTTATTGACAGGCTTACAAATCATGGATTTGGTGGTCAACAAGATACACCTGCTCCCCACCATCCTAGAAGGGATATAGTCCAGGATTTTTCCTCTTATCGGTTTCCCTACCAATCCTGGAAAGGACAGGTTTATTAACATCATAGGCTCAAGGTTGGACCAGCAGTAAAACTTTCATAAAAGTTTGTTAATCAATGACAAGTTCTGATTACCTTTTTACCATTTCAAGAACAGATTTATAAAAAGGGAATGCAATTTTCTTTTTTTATAATATAGACTAAACATTTTTCCATCTATATTTAAAATATGTGATATATAAGATATACTATACATGCATTACAAAAGATCATAACAATGGCAACTCCACTACTGAGTATGCATCCAAAGGAAATGAAATCAGTATGTCAAAGAGACATTTATTTTTCTATATTTGTTGTAGCACTATTTGCATTAGTTTATTGGCTAGTGAAAATTTAGTACACATACACACACCTATAAACACACAGAATGGAATGCCATTCAGCCATAAAAAGTCAAATTTTGCCACTTGTTACAACACGACTAGAAATGAAGATTACTATGTTAAGTGAAATATACTAAGTGTAGAAAGACAAATAGTGCTTTCTCTCACTCATATGTGGAATCGAAGAACGTTAGTTTCATAGATGTTTAGAGTAGAATAGGGGTTACAAGAAGTGGCTACATTGCATGTAGGGTGACTGCATATGATGTTGATGTCATGTGTGCTTTACAAGACCAGAGGAAAGGATTTTGAATGTTTTTACCATACAGAAGTAGTAGATCTTTGAGGAGATCAATGTTCATGCTAATTTATTTTTTTCACAATTTATACCTATATAGGAACACCCCATAGATATGGGCAATTTTTAAATGTTAGTGAAAAGTTAAAGGAAAAATCTTAGCAAAATAAATGTATATGAAGTTACCACTGAACCTGAAGAACAGAAAGGTAGCAGTGCTGTTGATGTTCTCATGGTCCCCGTAGGATGCTTTCAGCCTCCTTTTCCCCATTTCTTGGGCAGTAGTCTGTATCAAGTTTAATGATCATTCCTTTAGTACAATTTATAATTTTGCCTATAGATTGATGTAGGTTACTTTCAAACTTCATAAAAATGGTGTTGTTTTTGCCACTGAATTTTTATCTTTTTATCTTTTTTTTTTATTTATGTAGTCACTGTGCTGCTCGGACTTGTGCTGATCTTCCTGTTTTCAGCCTCCTTAGCGCTGGCATTATAGATGTGCACCGCCAAGCCCAGTCTCAGTGCCTGGCTCAGCGCACCTGGGGACAGGGCCAGTGTGGCCTGTGGAGCCCAGATCGATCCCTGGTCCCAGTGTTTGCCTAAGTAGGGGCTTAGTCCACTGAGCTATCTCACCAGCCTCTGCCACTGAATTTTGACTCATTATTTTTTTTTTTTTTACTTCATTTCTCCTGCTATAGAGTATTGTTATCTGACGCTATCATTGTGTATTCATCTTTCTCCCACTGAGGCTTGTACCAGTATCTTGCCATTACAACTGATTCTGGCGCAAGCATTATTTATTTATTTATTTAGTCTTTTAGAGACAGGTTTTAGAGACAGGGTCTCACTGTGCTGTTCAGGCTGGCTTTGAGCTCACTTTGTAGCTTAGGCTGGTCTTGAATTCACAACAATCCTCCTGTCTCAGCCTCCTAAGTGCTGGGATTACACATGTGCACCACCACTCCTAGCTTTAATGATAGTTCCTGGATTTATTTCTCTTGCTATCCTTTGCTTTGCTTTGCTTTGCTTTGCTTTGCTTTGCTTTGCTTTGCTTTGCTTTGCTTTGCTTTGCTTTGCTTTGCTTTCCTTTCCTTTCCTTTCCTTTCCTTTCCTTTCCTTTCCTTTCCTTTCCTTTCCTTTCTTCTCCTCTCCTCTCC